AAATGCCTTTTTTAGACTTCCAGTTGGAAATGGAGCAGCAGATGACTTCGTAAATTCGGTTTCGTGTTTTATCTCCAGGTTCCCTGGGGGCAGTTCTTGCTTGTTTCACGTTTCCCCACGACTTGCTGCCTGGGGCGAGTGCCGCCCCACCTGTACCTAGGAGCTCCGCCTTAAGGGATATTCATTTATCCGACGCAGCTGAGAACACCCTGCAGACTGGTTTCGAAGCAGGCTTCTCTAGACACGCCCATGCAACAGCGTGAATTCGCACGTGGGCAGACGGCCTGTGATCTGTGCCGCGTTCCCAGGACAGGCTGCAGGTGGCACCAGGGCCCTGACTGTGACGCTCCACCGCTGCAGGATGGCTTGGGTGCAATTTCCAGCAGCATCGGCCTTTTAAATTCAGTGTTTACCAAGACGGCCCTGGAGCAGGTTCCTAGGTGCTAATTAGGGTCTATGGCCAGGCCCATGCATTTTTTTTTTTTTTTTTTTAACAGAAAACTGTGTTGGAAACAAAGTGGACGGAGAATTATTCCAAACACGCTAAATGAAGCCTTTCACCAGAGTTCTCAAATATGAATTATGACAGTAAAAATACAGTGGGAACACACTTTTTTAAGGAATTCAAATGGGCATCCGTGGTACTGTATGCATCCTTACTGGCATTGGGGGTTTCTTCGTAAAGGAGGAAGCCCTCCTTGGCACTTAAAGAAATCTGACCTCTAGCGCCCTGTGCCTTCCACCCTGTCACTGCTAACAGCTACTGCCACACATTGATCAAGTATGGGAAGGATTGGGAGCCTCACCTTGTTGCATAGAGGAGGAGGGACACGTAAGGAGCTGAGGTTGTGAACGTGGTGAGGGGATTGCCCTCAGAAACAGGAGTCCTGTGAGGACGGCTTCTCAGTTTTGCTGGGGTAACAGGACACATTGGCTGAGACTTCCCCCGTTGTCCGACCTCCTTATTAGAGCCGCAGCCGAAGACAAAGAGGCCACAGTGCCTCACATTCCGAAGAGAGCTGCCAGCAGTTGGGGGCAGGGTTTCCGTTCTGCTCAAAAAGCCCTGCTCCGTCAGCCACCCCAGCCCTCTCCAGCCCACACCCATTTCTGGAAGAAGTGAGGAGAGGAGAGTTGGGGAGAAGGCAGGAGACACCGGTCTACAGGGGTCCCGTGCCTTCCCCTCTGGGAGGGGACATCTTTCTTGCCAAGTTTTCGGCCCCCACACCCCAGGACCATGGGAATAGCTCAGACTTTGTGGGTGTCTTCTAAGAGGGGAAGCATGGCATCTCTAGACCTGGCTGGGATTCTGGTCGGGTCCCCCGCACCCATCTGAGGGATCAGTGCAGAGCTGGAAGAGCAGGGCACACCCACAGCTTTGGGGGGCCCAGGGCTGTGAGCTTTGTCTGGGGGCCTGTGGGAGCTTGGCTTGAGAGTCTTCTCTGGGGAAAGGGGCCAGCTCTGAGAGCTGTGAGGCATGTTTTGGGGTGTGAAAGGAACATTAATATTGGGGCCCTAAAATCATTAAGCTAAAGGGAAAAGTCGAGCTAGGAACTGCTTAGGGCAGACCTGCCTCCCGTTTTGGAAAGGCTAATCAGAAACTCAACAGAGTGCAACCATATGTCTCTCACCCCCCTGTGACCTGGAAGACCCCTCCCTGCTTCAAGTTGTCCCTCCTTTCTGGATGGAACCAATGTGCATCTTCTTTTAGTATATTGATTGATTGATGTCTTATGCCTCCCCAGCTACCTCCTGAGGCTATGTCACAGGCGTGCATCCTTCCCTTGGCAAAATAAGATTCCTAAATTGACAGAGACTTGTCTCAGATATTTGGGGGTTCCCAGGGGGCAGGGACTGAAGCTGGCATGGAGAGAGGAGTTCAAGAGGTGAAGGGCCTCGGGAAAACTCATCTGCAGACACCCCCTCCCCCCACCGCAAGAAGAACAACTGGGGACCACAGAAGGCCCAGGGCAGTTTGGGGAGGGCCTGTCCTTCCACAGCTCAGTCGTGAGAGGCTGGTCCCCTCTCCCTTGCACTGCCTGGTCCCCAGCTGGGAGGAGCAGGATCAGAGGAGGAGAAAGGAGAAAGATGCAGAGAAAGGCTCCGCCTGCTTCCTGTCCCTCCAGCCCGGAGTTCTTGTTTATTTGTTTGTTCTATGTGCTGTGGCAATTCAATAGAGCCCATGGAAATCTTTTAGAAAAAAATGATTATTTTAAAAAGGCATGTGCCAAAATACATAGTATTATAAGAAAGAAAGAAGAAGAAATGACTATATTAAAATGCACTTGTCAAAATACAAAAAAATTTATTGTTATAGTAATGTACCTATTTCTTTATTGATACATTAATACCATCTAGAAGGGGATACATTTTAGAATACCGCTGAGCATAAATAATATTTCATAATACCTGAAATTATTATAACATTATGTCTACTTTTTCTGTTGGTGACAAAGTCTCAGATGCTGCTAATAGTGGTTTGTGGCCTTTAGTCATAATTGAAAGAAATGCTATGTTGCAGAAGGTTGGTGAAAGTGAACATGTGCTGTATCCCTGATCCAAGTTCATAGATGCTGGACCCCAGGGTGCTGAATCTGAGGCTCCTTGCAACAAGAATGGGCACCCAGCCCAAGAATGAGCAGGGCCTGGGGTCTGGGGGTGTTGGATGGCCCAAGAGGATAGCTTTATCTAGACAGGACTGGACTTTCCCTTGTCCCTAAAAGGCATCCGAAAGCTCAGGGGCCTGCCCAAGCTGGTGATAAGGGATAGGAACGATCACTTTGCACAGTGCGGCCTGCACTGAGTGCAGGAAAGTGAACACTCTTCGTCCACATTCTCTGTTGAGTTCACATGGAGCTCTTAGACGTCTGCTTCAGTGTATTCAACAGAAATGTATGGGCTTTGAAACTGGACTGCCTGTGTTTGAATTTGAAATGAATTTGGATATTTACTTACTCTGAGCTGAGTTTCATCACTTGTAAAACTGCAGGGTTGTGGATAAATTAGATGACCCATGTAACGTTCTTAGGATGGAATGTGACAAGAGTTTGAATGTGGGCACCTGGGCAGTGTGACTCCCCCACAGGGTCCTTCCCCCACGCCCTCTCTAACTCCACGAGGGTCTGTGGGTTAAAGAAGAATCAAAATGAGCCCTGTGATTTCCCGGCAGATGTGATTGTTCATTTCCCATCATGTTGCCATTGGTAGCAAACTGGTTATAAATAGAAGGAAACTCATGTTCTCCTTGCAGTGTGATCCCCGTGGCTCATATGACACCATGTTCCAGGGAGGCCAACCTTCGTCACTACAAAATAGCTTCCTAAATAGGCCACTAGGCATCATTAGCACCCTAATAGGTTCTGTTGTTGAAGTCATCCTTATCAGGTAGTATTCCAGGAGCTTTGGGTGGCATAATGGAAACACAGCCCAGGAACAGTCCCTTTTAATGACTACTACCTGAGCCCTGACTGACAAATCTTGATCCTCTGAATGTCCAGCTTTGTAACTTAAGATTTGTGACACAAGGACAGTAACAGCTGCATGACCTTTTAATTTCCCCAGCTGTTCTGCATGAGTTATATTAAGGAAAGCCTCTCTGAAGATGCTGAGATTTCCAGCTTGCTGCTCCGTGTCTCAGGTATTTATGCAGGAACATGGGAAGTGTGAACACCAAACACAGCCCACTTGTTAATACTTTGTGCTTTATTTTGTTTTACTTTAGTTATGTAATGATAGATTCCTGGTTCCACTTTTGCAGTCAGTTTCACCCTGTCCGTTCCAAATGGGACAGTTCTGTTTAATTGAACACAATTATATGAAAAACGCTTATTACTTTAAAAAATTAAAAATCGTTGCTTCTCTGCGAAGATCAAGTGTAATATCTGTTCTTATCAGTTTAAAAAATTAACAAAAAAGTATAAGAATTACACTTTTATAATAAAAGTATAAGAAAATTTTAAGAATTATAAATAAAAAACAAAAAATTAGGCAATTTCAAATAACCACTTTTTCAATCACATTGAAACTCATTTTCAAAGTAAGACACATTCCAATCTATCTCCCAAATGGAAATGACAACTTGTGAGACATCCCGTGTCCCTGCGCCCCGGCCATCCAGGAATAAGAGCTGAGTTCTGCTCCTGGTGCTTCAGGCTCCCTGCCTGACTTTGTTTTGAGTGACTGACCTTTGTATGGGACTTGATCACCGCATCAGACATGAGAATAAATGTCTGAATATCTGTATCAGTTAGCCTTGGTTGAACCACAAACCAACCCAAACAGGGCTCAAACCGTTTTATCTGCCGACAGTTGTGTGGATGTGGGCAGGTCATTTGAGCTGGGCCCCGCAGGATGGCTCGCTGTGGTGCTGGCTCATTCAGGCGCCTAAGTCAGCGGATGGTCAGTTGCCTCACTTATGTCCGGTGCTGGCTGAGGGGCCGGAGGCAGGAGCTGCTCATCACCCTGCAGGGCAGCCTGTTCCTGTTGTGCTGCACAATCACGGAGCTCCCAAGAGCAGCAGCAGAGACGCCTTGTGCAAATGCGCTTTCTTAGCCTCTGCTGATGTCACATTGGCTGATGCTTCCTTGGCCAAAGGAGAGCCCATGGCCAAGCTCAGATCCAGGGCTCCGTGCTGTGAACTCCACCTCTTGAGGCGGGGACACGGGCGGCACGGTCACATGGCAAAGGGATGTGAATATAGGCACAGAAGTAAGGTGTTGTTCTTGTCATCTGCCATCATATCCTTACATGATATTCTTATCTGCCATAATGTCCTTACCATAATGTTAAAGATTGCTCACACATTCCTAAGAGAGAAACAGGGTCAGTAATTCTGAACTTTCACAATGTTATTGGCATTTTACTTGACTTTCTAGACATAAAATGAAATTCTAATTCCCGAGAGTTTTTTTCCCCCAGTATTTAACATTTTTTTCTGGGCTAAGTTTTTTCCCAGCCTCCCCTCTCCTTTACTACCAGGTTATTGAAGCTGTTCTTTTAAAACTACAAGGAAGAAGAAACAGAGCGGGCTTGGGAAATGTTGAAACAGCAGCGCGCCATTCATCACAGCATTGCTGAAGAGACCAGCTCTACGTGACATTGCCAGAATTTCCATCACAGGTGAGGGCGTGTGTCTACAACCCCAGTATTTCGTGAAAAAGGAATTCTGTGTATGAGCTTTAGGACGAGACAGAAAAGAAGCGGTGCCCATGAGGTCTCCCTCCCTTGCCCTGCCTTCTCCTTTTGAATGCAGCTCTCTCCTTCCTGGGCCGGGATGATATGGAACCGTTTTACATGCGAGGGTTTCTAAGGGGGCGTTGTGAGGCGTCATCATTAGCAACCAACACTGCGGTTCTCCCCAGTGAGAAACAGGCAGCCCCACCCGGGGGCAGGCCCCTTCCCCTTCCTGGCCTCCCTGGCTCCAGGCGTCCTGACGCCAGCCCAGCCTTTGCGGAGCTCTGGGTCCTGTCCAGCTGAGCTCCCCAGGGGATGGTGAGCCTCTGCCTCAGTTCCCGAAGCCTCCTGTGGACTCGCAAGTCACATCTCTGCCACTCTCCTTAGAGATGAGCCTACACACTCATTTTCTTTTTTCCTCTGGACAAAGGAAGCAGCTTTTGAAAATCAAACTGATGGATGAGAGGGTGAAATCCACTGAGTGGGCCGTGGAGAACAGCCGTGTTTGAGAGGCAGCTCAGCGATGTGAATGAGGCCATGAAGACGGCAGTGCCTGTGGGCCCCGATAAATGATGGCACCAAGCAACTGGCAGGGCGGTGGGGGTGGGAGGGGTCCCTAGGCCCCACCCCTCTCTGCTCCTGTCTGTGTAATTAACAGCCTGCCTCTGTCAGCGGCTCAGCCTTCAGTGCTCTCTGCTGCGGCTCTGGTCAGTGAGGCCTGGAGGGGTGGCTCCTTCACCTGCCCTCTCCTGGTTTTTCCTGTGCCTGCCCCCGTGAGCCAGGAGATGCATTCACAGCTGCCTTTTTTTGATGTCTTCCTTTAAAAAGAGGCATTCCTCTGTGATTGCCTGGGGTCCTGTGGCTTACTGAATAAGATTCAGCGTGGGGAACCACAGACTCTTCCTGAGAAGCTCAGTTCCAAAAGGAAAAGGAAAATGCTGACTGGGATTCCCTGATAGGCATTGATTTGTCTAAATGCCGTCTCCATCCACTGATAACTCGAGTTTTCAGAAAGGCATCCTCTGCAGCCCAGCACCAGCTTCTCCGCCCGCCGTGTGCCCTGGGAGGCGGCCCGTGCTGCAGAAGCAGACACCATTGTGGCTGGGTCCAGTGGGGTCTGGCTAACAGGCTGGATGGGGGACAACAGCTGGAAGAGGAGGACAGAGGAGGTGTTTACTCGGGTCCTCCCATTAGGGCACCGTGGGGTGTTTGTTGGGTTTTTCTGCTGGCAGGTGCAGCTCTGGTCACCACCAAACCTTCCCAAACTATGAGGCTGCCGGCCGGGCACAGTGGCTCAGTCCTGTAATTCCAGCACTTTGGGAACCCAACGTGGGCGGATCACCTTTTGGGAGCCCAAGGTTGCGAGTTCGAGACCAGCCTGACCAACATGGAGAAGCCCTGTCTCCACTAAAAATACAAAATTAGCCAGGCATGGTGGTGCATGCCTGTAACCCCAGCTAGTCGAGAGGCTGAGGCAGGAGAATTGCTTCAACCCAGGAGGCAGAGGTTGCAGTGAGCCGAGATCATGCCATTGCACTCCAGCCTGGGCAACAAGAGTGAAATTCCATCTCAAAAGAAAACAAACAAAAACTATGTGGCTGCCCTCTGGGGCCACGGGCGAGACTTCTCCCCACTTACTGAAGCCCTGAGGTGGTCTGGTGACCCCTGGGCTAGTGGACTAAACTTTACCAGTGTTCCAAACCCAGCCCCCATCCTGGTAAAATGTCCCTTCATCCTAAGGTCCTTAATGTCAGCTGTTCGCTGCAGCATCCTGACTCGTGCACAGTTGAGAGACAGTCAGAAGCCAGCAACAACGAGGGTGATTGTAACAGACCATGACTGAGGAGTGCACAGAATACTCAGGGACCCCAGTCCTGTGCAGGCACTGAAGGTGGGCCAGGGAGTGCACACTGACGCTCTGTAGGGAGCTGCATTAGGATTGGTGGGAGATCTCTCACTGCAGTCTTTTTGTCATGGCTCTCGCAGTGCTTCCCTGTATCCACAGCTCCAAACGATCTTCAGTGGGGAGAATGTGTGTGTGCGTGTGTGTATGTGTGTGTGTGTGTGGATGCCTTAATACTTCTGGAAACATCCTTTTACCCACTGTTTTCATCTATACGCATATCACCTGTTTCATGGCTGGGACTTGGTAGGATTAGGCATACATGGGCCAGAGGTAACTGCAGTCAGACCCGGTTTAATTATAAAATGACAGAGTAAAAATAGATCCAATATGTTAAGGGACACGACTTAAGCTTATCCAGCCTGAACAACGTTAATGATAAGTAGAAACAAGCAAACGAAGAAAGCCTTTTGAGGTAGCAACAGAGGGGAGGGGTGGGTGTTGGCTCCGACCGAGTTGAGGACAGAGCCATTCCTCTCACTGCTGTGCTGCTCACTGGAGGTGGGGTGGGGTGCATGTGGTGTGCGCGGGGTGGATCCCACGCTGGTGCCAGGACTGCCAGAGTGTGTGTTGGTGGGGAAGAGAAGGAAGGGAGGGGTGGCTCTAGTGTCCACTGTGCTGATTTTATCGTGGACATGGAAATGAGAAGGCAGAGAAGATGTCTCAGTCTTTTGTAGGAGAGCTCACCCTCTCCTGGTTAGTGAGGGTCAGACACACTGCATCCGGATCCTGCCGGGAACCTGGAATGCCCAGAAGGCTGGCGGCGACGCGGTGCTGGACACCCCACCACACCGGGCTACGGCGCCTGGGGCGGCGGATCCACAGAGCGGCAGAAGATGTGGTGAGAAGAGACCCTGGGGGAGCCACAGAAGCAGAAGCGCCTTCCCCCCAACTCCCTGCACACCCACCCCTTAGCTGGGAGCGCCTCCCCCCCCCACTCCCTGCACACCCACCCCTTAGCTGGGAGCGCCTAACATGCAGCCAGAAAAAAAAATGTGGAAGGCCGATTCACATCTACCACCTAGAGAGCAAAATCCTCAGTGGTGTTGGTTTCGCATATGTGCCCATGTTCACTTCCTAGGGCTGCTGAACAAAGTGCCACAAACCACCTGGCTGAAAACAACAGGAATCTGTGTCTCATCGCTCCAGAGGCTGGAATTCTACGATCAAGGTGATGTCAAGGCCAGGCTCTCTCTGAGGCTCGGGGGTAGAGGCTGTCCTGCCTCTTCCTGGTTTCTGGTGGGGCGGACGGTGCCCGCGGACCCTCCTGCAGGCTGCGACCCCCACCTTCACTGCACACCAGGGTTCCAGTGTGACTCGGCCTTCACGCGGCGTTTCCCTCTTTTTATAAGGACAGCAGCTGTACTGGACGAGGGGCCCCCATTCCAATGCGACCTCGTTCTAATTAATCACACCCGCAAGAACTCTATTTCCAAATGAGGTGACATTCTGAGGTCCTGGGGGTTAGGACTTCAACATCGTTTTTGGAGAAAACAACTCGACCTTTAACAATGCCCAAGAGAAATGGTTTCATTTTTAGCAAGTGCACGTTAGAGTTCGCCACTCAAGGCATCTTTCTCAAGGATTTCTAACGATAGCTCGTGGTATAGGTTGCATTTATTTTTCACCATAATGATTTTTAAGACGTCAAAGCCTTGGCCCAACGACATGGGTGAGTGTGTTTCCACTGTGAGAAAAGATTCTGTGCTGCTTTCAAATGTCTGCAGGTTTATTTTTAGCTGGACAGGAAATGCATCTTACGCTCATGTTCATTTGTAGGCTGCCCCTTTTTTGGAGGGGTGTTATTGTTAGAAAACCACGTTCAGTGTGGAGATGAGTTTGGATTGAGCAAGTCTAAGTTATAATTATACTACTCTCTGCTATAGATTTTCCAAAATAATCTTTCTGTTCATCAGAATGTGAAGCCTTTCAAATAATGGCTCCGTTTGTTATTCACAACTGCCCAGCACAGCAGCTGCCTTGCATTTGTCTTTAAGTGAAGGGTCGAGAGGTTTCGATTTAACCTGGGGTTGAATTGAAGGTTTCGATTTAACCTGGGGTTGAATTGAAGGTAGTGTGTCCATATAGTGAGATGTAAAGTGAAAAATAAAAATTTATAAACATGCTATGTCGTGACCACATGATACCAGAGCCATTTTTTATTTGTTATGACTAAACTTCCAGTTGTTTCAAAGGGAGGGAAGCAGTTCAATCCAGAACTTACCTAAAATTTTCATTGTTTCAGCAAAGGGATCTGTGATTGGGGGAAGTTTAACTCCTAAGTAGGGGACCTTTCCCTCAGACAAGCTGCTCGTATTTGTCGCTGGCACCAGGGAGAAGCTAATGTTTCAGAAGAGAGCAAGGTAATTCCATCCTAATGCCGTAATGAGGGTGACAGTGAGGTACAGGAAATGGTGGGACATTCCACCTAAAAATAACCATCATGGTTATATTGGCAGGTGGCTGTGATCTCCATTTCCAAAGGGGAAGCTTCAGGGGGAGGTCCTTTGGCCTTCCTTGGTGGGATTGCCTGGGAAACGTGATCATTTCACAGAGCAGTGTCTGTCTCTCCATCCTCTTCTTTGAGAGACTCCTGAATGAATAAAGCTATCATTCTCACACCCCAGACCAACACTTTAACCCTCTGTTGAGGTACGATTTAAAGGATGCATGAGGATGGATTCTATTTTTCCCTGACCAAACACGCTGAGTCTCAACAAATAGCCTAGATTTCTTTCTCTTGTGCCTTGAGTGTTGATCACAAACACCCCAGCCTTTCACGCTGGTAAGGGCCACTCCCAGGTTCACTAGTATATTGGCTGGTGACCACTGATGACGGTGCCTGCTGTGAGCTGGGTGCATATCACCCGTGTGGCATGTCCCATCTCACTTAACCCTTGCTACAACAGCCAGATCGTGCTCCCTGTGTCGCCTTTACAGAGAGGTAACATGGTTACCTCTCTGTAAACTGTGCGGGGGCTTTGACCATCCATCTATTTGCTTTAGGCTAGAGATCACTTGCAGGTGAACCACCTGCTCCCTTCCTTGGGCTTTCTGGAGGGATGGACAGAGGTACAGTATTGGGACTACCGCTTCTCTCTGTGCAAACAGCGCTCTTCCCATTTTAGGAAGGGAGTTATCTATACTAGAGAGACTCCCATGAATCAAGGAGCAGCTCAAAGCGAGCTTTTGCGTACTTCCAGGGGTCTGCGAATCTTCCACCTCTGCTCCAGCGTCTCTGCTCTCCTCCCCTTCCCTGGCTCTGATAGAACCCTGAGGGCCTCGCTTCCCTTGCTCCTGGACTTGCAACTAGGAGTACGTTTAAAAAGTCTCCTCTAGAGGGGCACAATTCCAGCTAAGCCAATCATCCATACAAACCTTCGTGCCTTGGCTTATTGGTTTTCAACTGCACAGGGCACACCTCATTCCTTGGAGGGTTATGTGGGGTTCGATGTTGTAATCGATGGCCCATGTGATTTGGAAAGACGGACTCCGAGGGTTAAAGCAGGATGTATCCTTCCACATTTTAATTGCTCCCAAGGATGATCAGATAATTGCCTTCCTTTGAAGGATCCATGAGAATGTGCTGAAGTGTCCCAGCAAAACAAAAGAGAGTCTCTGAGCGGTTTCTATTCTTGTCTGGCTCTGTTGACAGCTATTGAATGCTCTGGGGAAGAGAAAAGGCTGGCAGGGAGCCTGGGCCCAGAGGAACGTGAGGAGAGCCGGGCCCCCTCCGAGAGACGCTAGCGCGCTGTGCTCATTAGAAGGAGAATGTGCCACTTGTGCTGCCTTCTGCGCTCTGCCCCTCCTCCAGGGAGGACTTGTTGAAGGCATGAGAAACTATGAAGCCTGAGCCTGGGGCTGGCAGCTGCCACTGCACGGGAGAGCCTGCCTCCGGGAGCCAGGGCTGCCGACCTGAGCATACACTTCCTTCCTAG